AGGCAGCCTCCAGAGAGCGCCCGGGCGCTGCAGGCTTAACGGGCCGCCGGGGGCGCGCAGAGCAGGTACAGACCCTCCCTGGGAGCCCTGGTCCCGGGCGCCCCTCCCCTTGGTCCCGTTAGGCCCGTCACCAGCACCACCCCCGCTGCCTGCGCCCCGCGCCCCCGCCACGACCCCAGCCCCAGCACCTAGAGCTGCGCAGGATCTTCCCGCACCCTGGGGTCGAATTCCTGGGGAGGGGCTCTGATCCCGCGAAACTCTGGCCCCACCGCCGGGCAGGGAATCAGCCAAAATTCCTACTCGGTCGCATAGTAAGTTTGGAAAACAAACCCAGGACCTCCCGGCACGTGCTGAAGCCGCCTCCCTCTTCCCTCTGCTCTGAGGACGCCCCTATTCCTACTTCTGGAGTTGGGGTGCACGCGGGTGGGGGGCGAGGGGTCGCGGGATGCGGGTAGGTGCCCTGATCCAGCTTAACCTGCGGGCTGTAGAGGTCGCCCACAGAAAGGACACCTGTCTAGACTGTCCTCCAGGACCCGGAGTGGGGGGCATGGCAGGACAACTAAGTGGGTGGGGTTGGGGTGGGCTCTCCACCAGCAGCCCCTGAGAGGTGCCCTGTTGCCCAGAGGTGGGTGCTATGGGTGTCCAGGTCTTAGCTCTGCTCAGGGACATCCCTGGCCAGGGTCAGGTGTGGCCAGGGTCAGTGCAGGTGGCCAGCCTGCCCCAGAGTGACTACTTGTGGCTGGCCTCTCCTTTCCAGCTCCTGGGAAGACGTGGGAGACCCCAGATGAGGGCCGTGAGAAGCCCAAATGTGAGCCTGTATGCACGGGGGTGGGGTGGTGACGGTCAGCCCCCTGCCCAGCTGTGCAGGGTGGTGGTGGTGGGACTTTTCCAGAGAGGGAGCCAGGTCTGGCCGGGGGCCCCAGGAACTCACGTCACCCCACCCCCCACCCTTCGCTTCTCTAGGGAATTGCCAAAGCCAAACCCAGCTCAGGACAGGATTCCGTGTCCCCGGTAGACCGTGGAGAGCAGGCCACAGAGGAGCGGGACGGAGGGTGCCTAGAGGGGGCTGGAAGCAGAGAAGGGCAGAACAGGATTGTCCTCCAACGTTCTTTCCCTTCCACCCAGGTTAGGGTTTCCAGGCGTCAGGCAGAGAGAGATGGCGGTTTGGGTGGAATGTGGACTCGTCTTGGGAGCCCCCAGCCTCCCACCCATCAGGGTGTAGTCTCTGACCTCAGTGGCCAGCCCAGCCAGGGGAAGGAGCTGCCATCAGCATATCTCCCGCACCCCACCCCACCCCTGAGCAGCTGAGGTGACCCTGCCAGTTTGGCTTGACCACTCTGATCTCTGCCTTAGAGTCCTGAGTCCTGGGGTCTTGGAGCAGGAAGGGGGTGGGTGGGCACAATGTTGCTATCCCCAAGCACATTCCTGCTTTCTGTCACTTTCCTGCCCCTGAGCTGGCCCACCTCGACACTGGCTCTTGGATTCTTCTCCCGGGTGCCTTTTGCCTCCAAAAGAAACACACATTTTTTTTTCCTGGAAAGCAGAACTAAGAGCCGTGTGGGGGCTGGGGATGGGAGGGGCGCAAAAGAAGAAGGAGGGGGCTGAAGGGCAAGGAGGGGCGGGGAGAATCAGGCTAAGAGGCCAGGAGGTTCCAACCCACACTCCTCCCACCTTCAAAGCTAGACTTCAGGGAGAACTTCCTGCTGTCTGGCTCTTCCATGCGTGGTCTATGATGGGAAGGCAAGGGCAGCCCTCGCTGCATCTCTCTTGCCCAGGTTCTAGCCTGCTGTCCTACGTGACATAAACCCTCCTTCACCTAGTGCAGCACATGGGCACCCAGCCCTTGACACAGCCGTGGCACCGTGGAGCCCATTCCCACGCCCGGCAACCCCGTGCAGAGGCTGCGCAGTAGTGAGGAGCCACGAGGTGTTCTGGGCGGTCATCTTTACAGGAAGCCGATTGCAGACTTTCCTTAGTGGGGTCACAGCGTCAGCTTTGAGGTTAATCGTCAAGCACCAACCTCCCGTGCCACTCACCGACCCAGGAACCCTAAGTCCCTCTGCCTTCTGGTCAGCGATCTCACAGCAGCCCCACAAAGGGTTTCCAAGTCTTCATGGCTGGGCGGAAGAGGAGGTTTACTGCTCCCATGAAGACAGTCTCGGAAGCCCACAGGGGCAGTTCTACCCTGACCATAGGGTCACTAGGAGTGACCGTCAACTTGACAGCAGTGAGAAATCTTTTGGGGAGCAGACAGCCTCATCTTTCTCCCGTGAAGTGCCTGGGGGGCTAGAAGTACCAACCTTCAGGATAGCAGTCCAAAGCTTACCAGACGGTGAGGTGGTTAAATCACAGTGGGAGAATGACCTGCTTCTTGGGAGGTTAAACCAAGTTTATCCCTTGGCTCAGAAGTTTTTGAGGCAGGCAGAGATGTGCCTGCCTGTTCCCTAAGGAGCTTAGCTAAAAAGGGAAGAACAAGCTGTGGAGTAGGAAGCAGGTGGTTGGGGAGGTTGTCTTGTTTCTGGAAAAGTCCAAGGGGGCTTCTTCCTCACCTGAGCCTGCTTCCTCATCTTTCCAGAGCTGGGGGGGAGGGGGACATGGGGCTGGGGCAGAGGCGGACAGGGTCATGGTGCTGCCCTGGGTTAAACATTCCGCTGCTAACGGAAAGATTGGCAATTCAAGCCTTCCAGCCACTGTGCAGTGAAAGATGAGGCTGTCTGCTTCCATTGAGGCTCACAGGCTCTGGGGCCCTGCTTGACTTGGTCCTAAAGGGTCTGGGCAGCAGTGGGTTCTGGGGAGCAGGAGGGACCATCTGAAGACAGAGCTTGCCTGTGTGCCTAAGCTGGCCTGGTTGGGTCTAGGGAGGAGCTGAGACAGTCCTTCCTACGGGGCCAAGGGGAGGGGATTGGACCCAGACTTGCAAGAGGCTGAAGTCAGCCCCCCACCCTATAGTCTCAGCAGATGGACAGAGGCAGCAGAACGGCCTGCTCACTGCGAGCTCCCACCCTTAGGAGCATAAAGGGATGGGCCAGTCTCCCCCACACCTCCGTCCACACTTTGAGGTGGCCTTCTGAGGGCTCCTTGTCCGGCTCTCTGCAGACTGGAGAAGTGACCACCAGGCTTCCGTCCCTCCTCGCCCAGATGCCTGCGTAGCGCCTTGGCAGCCAGCCCTCTCCGCCCTTCCCTGTCCTGGGCCAGCAGGGGAAGCAATGGAGAAGTGGGTGGGCAGGTAAGAGGCGGGGCTAGGAGGATGGCGCTGGGGGCACTTCCGCACTGGAAATGGGGGGAGACCAGGGATGAGTAACCTCTGGTTTCTGAGAAGTTGATGATTCAGGATGTGGGGAGCTGCTGGGGTGAGGGGGTGGGGGGTGGGGTGGCTGAGGCAGCATAACCCCTCCTCTGGCTCTTGTCTGATTGATGTGCAGGCCCCGGCAGCTGTGTCTGATGCTGCTGCTGTCCCTCCCCCAGCTCTGCCAGGATCAGGAGGTGAGCCTGGGACCAGAGGCACACCTCTATCCTGCTGCCATCTGCCTGCCTGCCTGCCATCTCCCCCTGACCTCCTGCCCACCTCTGCAGGCCCGGGCCTCCATTGCCGGAGCCTCTCCTGGCCAGCTCTCCAACTCCTTGCCACTGACGGCTAGATGACCGGGTCCCAGGCTGCCCCCTCCTGCCTCCTGGGGCTGGGCCTTCCTCTCTGAGCCTGGGCATTGGACTCTGATCCTCTCCACAGTGCGCTCCAGAATCACCCTAATTTGGTCTCACCTTTTTCTGCCCATAGGTGTTGTCCGGGCACTCTCTTCAGACACCTCCGGAGGAAGGCCCAGGCCCTGAGGGTGTCTGGGGGCCTTGGGACCACTGGGCCTCCTGTTCTCAGCCCTGTGGGGTAGGGGTGCAGCGTAGGAACCGGGTCTGCCAGCTCCCTTCGGCTCACAGCCTGCCACTCCCACCCCGGCCCCCCAGACACCCAGAAGCCCAGGCCCCCCAGGCAGCCCTCCCCCTGTACAGAGCAGAGCTGCCTCTGGAAAGAGGAGGCACACGTCAAAATCCAGCCTCCCAGCCTGGGAGGAAGGAGGCCCGAGAGAGGCAGGGGGCCCGCAGGTGAGCGTGGGTGGGGTGGGGGGGGGAGTGTGTGTGTGTGTGTGTGTGGCTTGGAGGAAGAAAAGGCGAACAGAAGACACATGGTTTAGTGTGGGGGTGGTTGTTGGTGTTGTCTTTGATGCCAGGATGTATATTGGGAGGTAGAGCCGGAGGTGGCCAGAGCTGTGCTCCTGAGTCTGTGACACCTTTGCAGGCTGAGGGTTCGAGACCCCATCAAACCAGGAATGTTCGGCTATGGAAGAGTGCCCTTTGCTTTACCATTGCACCGGAACCGCAGGCACCCCCGGACGCCCCCCAGATCCCAACTACCCCCAGCCTCGCTTCCCTCCCCAAACCAGACCCTTCAAACTCAGCTCCCGACCACAGAACTGTCTGCCCTCAACCAGTCCGCTGCAGCAGGGTCCCTGGTCCCAACTGTGCAGAAGGAGCTGCCCTCCAGAGCCAGGCCTGCCCCCACAGGTCCCTATCCCAGAAACCAAGCCTCCCACCCAGAGCCCACCCCCTCTCCAAGACACAGTGTCTCCTTTGCTGCGCCCCCTCAGCAGAGAACATCACAACCCCAGAGGTGGGCCAGTCCTCCTCAGGGAGTGGGGAGGCGGCCCAGTCCTCTCACCCCCGTCCCTCGGGGCCGAGGCCAGCAGAGCCCAGAGCACTGGAGACCTGGGAGCGGTCCTCCTCAGGGGTCTCCCGTGGAGCCTGCCCCTCGCTACCCAGAGGGTTGGTTGCCTCTGCTGAGCACTGGCCCCCACGCCACCCCACTCTGGAGCCTCTTTGCACCCAGTAGTCTTGTCCCCAGCTGCCCCGGCGAGAAGGAGCAGCTGAGAGCCTGCAGCCTGGCCGTGAGTGCTTCCCCAGACAGACACCCACACCTCCCAGCTTCTCTGGCAGCCTCCCCGACCGAGTTCCTGGCCTGCTTCATCTGGGGTGGGGGGGAGGGGAGGAGAAGGCCCTTGACCTCTGGGCTGCTCGGGGTACAAGCCTCAGAGCTCTTCCACAGACCTGACTCTCCCCCTCCTCCCCTGACCCTTCCCCCCTTTTCCTCCCCAGCTGACTCCTCTGTATTGCCCCACCTCAGCTCTGCCCCCCTGAGCAGCCAGACCCCCGGGCCCTGCAGTGCGCCGCCTTCGACTCCCGGGAGTTCCTGGGCCAGCTGTACCAGTGGGAGCCCTTCACTGAAGGTGAGGCATCCAGCCCGGGGGGACAGGGAGGGTCCTGCCCACTCCACCAAGGCTGGGGGGGGAGGCTCAGCACAGGCCTGCAAGCGGTCCATGGAGGCCGGATGGGGTGGATGTGGTGCAGGAGAGGCCTGGTCAGAGAGGGCCTGTCCAATGGCGACAACTGGAGGGGTGCGCTCTCATAGCTGTGGCTCCGAGTTACGCTCTGCCGTGTCACCCTGACACCAGGAGGAGCCCTCGAGCTCAGCCCCTCGTAAACATGGGTCTCAAGGATGTAACCCCCTTGTAGGTCTCAGTGACACTGATTCACCCGAGGGCGGGATGGTCCTGTTCTCCAGCGACCTGGGCAACCACTGTGGGTCTCAGCACAGGAAGGGACCTGGAGTTCCCCCACTGGCCTTTCACCGGCCTGGCTAACCACCCCCTCCCTGCCTCCTAGTTCAGGGCTCCCAGCGCTGCGAATTGAACTGCCGTCCTCGGGGCTTCCGCTTCTATGTCCGCCACACCGAAAAAGTCCAGGACGGGACCCTGTGTCAGCCGGGAGCCCTGGACATCTGTGTGGCCGGACGCTGTCTGGTGAGGGGCGGGGCTCGCTTGCTCTTGGTTCAACAAAACACCAGAGTGCAGAGGGGAAAGTTCTCACCCGCCAGGCCAGGCTGAGCCAAGCCCAGAGAAGAAATGCAAGCAGGGCCTCCTCTCAGGCACACACATCTGCCTGCCAAGGCCGGGCCAGGAGACAGGGCCTCCCTTGTAGTGGGAACAGCTGCAGGGTCCCAGGTGGCCCCGGTGGGCGGTAAGGTGGTGCCGGGCTCTCCTGTGGGCCTGCCTCACCTCAGTCTCTTCCAGAGCCCTGGCTGTGACGGAATCCTGGGCTCGGGCAGGCGTCCAGACGGCTGTGGCATCTGTGGGGGTGACGGTTCTACTTGTCGCCTTGTTTCGGGGAACCTCACTGACCGGGGTGCTGCCCTGGGCTATCAGAAAATCCTCTTGATTCCAGCGGGAGCCTCCCAGCTCCACATCGCCCAGCTCCACCCCAGCGCCAACTACCTGGGTAAGCACCCAGCGGCCTCCAGTCTTGGGTACCCACGGCAGACACTCGGGTGGCTGGTGCTCCCTGTTTCCCCACTCAGCACAGCCAACAAGGCGGGGTGTGCGTGTGCCTGTGGCAATGGAGAGGACCTGACGGCGGAGGACTAACCTCTGTCTCTTCACTCCCCCCCAGCACTTCGGGGCCCTGGGGGCCGGTCCATCATCAATGGGAACTGGGCTGTGGACCCCCCTGGGACCTACACAGCTGGGGGGACCACCTTCCGGTATAGCCGGCCTCCCAGGGAGGAGGGCACCGGAGAGAGTCTGTCAGCAGAAGGCCCTACCACCCAGCCCGTGGATGTCTATGTGAGCCTAGGATCCCGGGGACGGGGAGGTGGGGGCTGTGGTGAGGGAAAGGGGGAAGTTCCCTCCCTCCAAGAGCAAGGTTATGAGTCATGATGCCCAAGCAGGCTGGTGGTGTGTGCCTGTGTCACCCCCAAATTGTCATCACTCTCAACGCCACTCCTGTCCCCCTAGATGATCTTCCAGGAGGAAAACTCAGGGGTTTTTTATCAGTACATCATCTCTTCACCTCCTCCAAGCCTCGACCCCCCCACCCCAGAAGCCCTGGTGCCCCAGATCCAACCCGGTAAGGCTCTGAGCCAGGCCCAGAGCAGGAGAGTCAATAATGGGGGGGGGGGGGGCTCTCAGGCAGCATGGCGCACCTGATTGGCCTGCTCGATGCCCCACACAGAGATTCTGAGGGTGCAGCCCCAGCCTGCTGCTGCGCCCCGTCCAGCCCGGACCCCAGGCACCCTCCAGCGCCAGGTTCGGATCCCCCAGATGCGGGCGCTGCACCCCCCCAGGCTGCCCCTGGGGGCTTCAGCCGGCTACTGGAAGCAAGGGGGCCACACTGAGTGCTCGGCGTCCTGTGGAAGAGGTGGGACTTCTGTACCCTGGATTTGGGCTCCAGAGGGCAACCAGCCCAAACCCCAGCTCCAGGGCCTGAGACCCAGAAACGGGGCCTGGCCATGCCACCTCCCCTGGCTTCCTCTTCCTCTCCAGGTGTCTGGCGCCCCATTTTCCTCTGCATCTCGCGGGAGTCGGGAGAGGAACTTGATGAAAGCAGCTGTGTTGTGGGCAACAGACCCCCGGCCTCCCCAGAGCCCTGCCATGGCCCTCCCTGCCCCCCATAGTGAGTGTGACCCACAGGGTGTGGCAGCTCAATTGCCGCCTGGGCTCACCTGCTCTAACTAGCTTCCTGGCTGCAGGAAAAGCCTTGTTAGACTCCAAAGACTGCCATCCTGTCCCCAGCAGGGGGCCTGGGCAGACTTTCAAGTGCTGAGCATGCCCAGTCTCCTCTGAGGGGGTCCCTGTGCACAGGGCATGTCCTCTCCCATCCGCAGCCCCCATGTCTGTCTCTGCCTATCCATGCCCACAGCTGGGAGGCTGGCGAGTGGACGTCCTGCAGCAGCTCCTGTGGCCCTGGCACCCAGCATCGCCAGCTGCACTGTCGCCAGGAATTTGGTGGGGGCGGCTCCTCAGTGCCCCCAGAGCGCTGTGGAGATCTCCCCCGGCCCAACATCACCCAGCCCTGCCAGCTGCGGCTCTGTGGCCACTGGGAGGTCCGCTCCTCTTGGAGCCAGGTGAGTGGGGCTGGGCATGGAGGCTCGGGGGCCGAGGAGGGCCTGGGGGCTCTCCCCCTTTTACTGAATCAGCAGAGGGTCTTTACACACTCAGTCCCATATGGAACCCTGAGGTCTTAAATCAGAGGAGTGACTGGGCCAGGGGTGAGAGCCTGGGGCCCGTGCCCACAAAGCCGATGCTGGGGGGCTGAGGGAGACCTGAGCAGCCCAGCTCTCTCCTGTGCTCCCCAACCCCCCAGTGCTCCGTGCGGTGCGGGCGGGGCCAGCGGAGCCGGCAGGTGGGCTGTGTTGGAAGCAGTGGCGATGAAGTGAGTGAGCGGGAATGCATGCTGGGGCCCCCGAAGCCCCCCAGCAGAGAGGCCTGCCACATGGGGCCCTGTACCACAGCCTGGTTCCACAGTGACTGGAGCTCCAAGGTGGGCCTCACACCCCCTGCACCAAGTCCCAGCACTCCCCCCCTGCCCGCCCCTCCCCGCCCCCAGGCCTTTTTCAACACAACTCAGTGTCTGTCTGCTGAGCAAGCGTCCACTGGCCACCAGGCTTTGCTGGCCCGAGGAATGTGGAGATGAGAGAGGAAAATGTACCAGGGTGCTGGTCTTTGGGCACCTGCAGAGGTGGTCCTTACCTGGCTGGTGTCCTTGAATCCATGACTCCTGGGAACAGAGCCAGCATCCCTCCAGTCACCCATCACACAATCCCCCTACTTCACGACAGTGCTCGGCTGAGTGTGGGACGGGCATCCAGCGGCGCTCCGTGGTCTGCCTTGGGAGTGGGGAGGCCCAGGAGGCGGGCCAGGAGGATGCAGGCCTCGGAGCCAGCGAGCAGAGCTGCCCCGCAGGAAGCCGCCCTCCAGACATGCGAGCCTGCAGTGTGGGGCCTTGCGAGGTGAAGCGGTGCTGGTACACAGGGCCCTGGAGTGAGGTGAGGCAGGACCGGGTGGGGCCGGCTGGGGGGCCGTCCCACAGGGCCCTCATCTCCCTGTACCCCTCTCCAGTGCTCATCAGAATGTGGCTCAGGCACACAGCGTAGAGACATCATCTGTGTGTCCAAACTGGGGACGGAGTTCAACGTGACCTCTCCAAGCAACTGTTCCCACCTGCCCAGGCCCCCTGCCCTGCAGCCCTGTCAGGGCCGGGCCTGCCAGGACAGGTGGTTCTCTACTCCCTGGAGTCCGGTGAGTGCCGCGCTCCCTGGCCCAGCCTGGACCTCCAGGGCAGGGGTGTTGCCTCTCATCTGAATCCCCAAGATAAGCCCAGCTGAGACGTAACATTGTCCCATGTCCGGTGAACCTGGAGGGCAGAAGGGCCATTCGTGATTTCATCATGAACACACACACACGGAGGGAGGTGGTGGGTTGGGGGCCAGTGGAGCCACCACAGCAAGGGGCTGATGTGACAGCTGGCTCTCCCCAGTGTTCCCGCTCCTGCCAGGGGGGTATGCAGACAAGGGAGGTCCAGTGCCTGACGGCCAACCAGACTCTAAGCACGCGATGCCCTCCTCACCTGCGGCCCTCTAGGAAGCGACCCTGTAACAGGCAGCCCTGCAGCCAGCGTCCTGGTAACCGTCCCCACCCCCAACCCCTCTGCGTGGAGTTCGCGGAAGAGTATGCGTGAAGCAGGGAGGGGTCAGTGTGAATGGACAGCATACCTTCAGAGAGGCTTGGTAGCTGGCCTCCCTGTGCCCATCCGCCTCTCTTTCCTCAGATGATCAGTGCAAGGACAGCTCGCCACATTGCCCCCTGGTGGTACAGGCCAGACTCTGCGTCTACCCCTACTACACAGCCACCTGTTGCCGCTCCTGCGCCTACATCCTGGAGCGGTCCCCTTCGGAGCCTACCTGAAATGGGTTTGGGAGACATCTCCCTCATGGTTTTCACATCCCACCAGCCACATGGCCACTCGTCTGTCAGCCCACTTCATAGCCCCTGGCTCTCTTACCAGCTGCCGGATGTGTGTCCTCCACCACCTCGGAGTAGTTGAAGGTGGAGACACGACTGGCTGACTTTCCAGATGTTTATTGGGACTGGATGGTGGTGTGATGGTGTGTGTGCACACGTCCTCAGATGTGTATCTGGGGCAGCACAGATATGCGTGTGCTCCCACAGGCTGAGCAGGGACAATGCCTGTTCTCCAGGAGACGTGTAGGCTGGGGAAATCAAGTTCCCAGCTCCTTGCTCATGTGACCTCCTTAGAGTGTGCTCTCCCCATCAGTCCCAATGTTGTGCGCAAAACCTCATTTCTCCTGTCCGGGTCCCACATCTTCTAAACTACCCTGTTATTACCTGGCCACCCACCCCTTCTCCCTGTAGCTATCCCAACTTCTCAGAACTGGCTACAGAGGGAGGTCCACCGAAGGTCCCTGGGTAGCACGGATTATTCTCACCTACTAACCTAAAGGTTGGAGGTTCGAATCTACTCAGCGGTGCTGCAGAAGAAAGACCTGGTGATCTGCTTCCACAAAAAGTGCAGCCAGGAACACCCCATGGAGCAGTTCTGCTCTGTAACATGGGACTAAAAGGCAACCGTTTTTTTTCTTTTTTGTGGTTGGGGGAAATGCAGGAGTCAATTGCTGCAATCTGCCTTACTCCAGGGAGAAAGACTGCCTTCCCAGAGCAGGGACCAGCTGGCAGAGGGGTAGGAAAAGAAAAAAATGGTACTGTAATATCCTCTAGTCCCTGCCCCCATCTCCCTGCCTTCAAAAGTGGTTCCCACCTAGAATTAATTTATTCTTTATTAAAGAGGATTATGACACATGAGAAAGGGGCTCTTTATTGTCCCATGGGGACCCAACCATTAGGACCACTGCAGCAGGGTGATCGCAAAGTGAAGGATGGGGAGAGGGGAAGGGTAGTTAGGGCCCAGGAGGAGGAGGTGGGGCCCAGAGAGGCTACTTGGCTGAGGTCACGCATCTAGTTCCAAGGGTGAGGATCCTGGCCAACCCTAGGCTTTGCAAGTTAGCCGTTGACCACTAGAGGTCACTACTTCTCCCAACTTAGGCACGCAGTTGGGAAGTGGGGTGCAGAGCTCAGAGGAAGTAACTGCAGGGCTGACTGTGGGCTTCGGTGTGCAGCAAAAACTTGCAATCTAGTAGCCTTTTTAATAGGGAGCTGAATGACAACTGGCTTTTCAGGGATCTCTTCTCTTTTTCCCTCTTTTCCCTTGCTTTCCTGCCCTCCCCTGCCCCCATTTTTGTTCTCATTTATTTCCTTGTTAAAAAAACAAGCTGCCATCAAGTCGATTCTAACTCATAGCAACCTTATTATAAGGTAAGGTAGAAATGCCCGCTGTGGGTTTCCAAAGCTATAACTCTACAGAAGTAGAAAGTCTCGTTTTCCTCCCGTGGCGCAGCTGGTGGTTTCGAACTGCTCACCTTGTGGTTAGCAGCTCCCAGGGTAAGCGCTATGCCTCCAGGGCTCATTTCCTTATTACGCTCAGCTTATTAGTTTCCATGGGGCCGGGTGGAGAGAAACTCCTGCCAGCCCCCTTGCTTTTCCTCTGCGGAATGGCTGGAGGAGCACGGCCTGGCTGGCGGGTCGAGGGAGGAGCCCGGGCGGTACGCGATGTCCTGCCAAAGATGCATTCCTGAGCGCTGGCTCGCCCGCCCCCGCCCCCGCCCCCAAGGTAAATAATGTGCCAGACGTGCTGTGCGCAGGGGCTGCTGCTGCTCCAGTACTTGACCCGTACCCCCACCCCTACAATTCCCAAGTCTGAGGTGCGACGTTGCTCCTGATTTTCCAAGGGTCCCCACACCTAGAAGGGTGCAACACAAGCAGCGCCCCCTCCGCTGTCGGGGCCCAGCTGGGTCAGGTCACGCAGGACGGGCTGTAGTAGTTCCATCCGTGACTAGTGGCCTGTGCACACAGTCCCTGAGAGCCGGGGCTCTGGGCCGTGTGGGGAGGGGAGTGGGTGAGAAAGCGGGCAAAGGGGTACAGGCCGAGGACAGTGGGTACAAGCAACGCCGGATCTGTGTCTCGGCTCGCCCTCGAAGAGGGAGCCCGCAGAGAACGCGCTTCGCGAACCTCCACGGGATCAGACGTGGGGGCCCGAGGAGCGGGCCCCCGCCAGCCCGTGGCTCCCGGGGACTGCAGGCGGGGCCCCAGGCCCCGAGCGGGTGGGGTGGCGCGTGGCAGGCCCGCCCAGCGATTCCTGGAAGCCCGGCTGGGCGGAGGCCGGCTCAGCTGACTTCCCCACAGCCCGGCTTCACGCGGGCCTCTGGGCTGTTGCTGGGCAGGTTTGCAGTTTGCCCTGCGCCAAGAGCCAATCACAGGTGGGCAATGCAGTCCCAGCCCCTCTGAGGGTTCCCCCAGCTTCCTCTTTCTAGTAGCCCCCCAGTTCCCTCAGACTCCAGCCTCCAACTGCAGGCTACATGGCCTCTTGTCTGGGGGATCACCCTCCTCCGCCCCCCCGCCCCCCATTTTAAGGCTTGCATTCAGTGCAGCGGTAAGGGCTCCTTCTCTGCTGATTGTGGTCAGCGTGGAGGTCAGTGGGGTTCACAGGAAAGGGAACCTGACCCTAAGCAAACCCTTGGAGGGGCGTGGGGGGCCAGACACCTCTGAAACCCAGTGGAGGAACCTGAGAGGGGAAGCTACAAGCCAATGGCTGGAAGATGGGGCAGAGGGCCCCTGGGGTTAGAGCAGTGAGGGGAATAGGGGAAGGGCTCAAAGGAACTGGGCCCCCGAGACCTGAGACAAGGGGAGGTGGGGGGAAGAACAATCTTGACGTGCCTGAGAGAGACCCAGTGGGCAAGGGGTGGGCAGGCTGCGGTTTCTAGACCGGGTGTCCAGGGGGAGCTGACTCTCAGCTCAGCTGGGGAGGATTCCTCTCCCCCACCCACCCCGCCCCGTTTCCCCAGGGTAAATACCCTGGTTTAAACTAGTCTTCAGACTAAATTTAGTTCCTAGACTTCCCAGACCCGTGGGGACCTCCCTGTTAACTAGTTGTTCACTGCTGCAGGGGGAGTTTTAACATACCTCTCACCTCTGGTCAGCTAGGAATGAAGCAGAGCCCCGGGACCCAGTTGCTGGCCCGGGGGGTGCATGAGTGAGTGGCTCAGCTTCAGGCCACCCTCTCTTGGGAGACCTGTAGGAGAATTGGGGTGGGGAGAACTAGACAGACTTGAGGCGGGGTGGGGGTGGTGTCGGGTAATCGAGACCCTCTTCCACGTACAACTTGAGACTTCATTTTAACATAGTATCCTCTCCCAGCAGAGTAAACGGAGGAGACCCTTGCCTCTCCTTGAACCATGGAGAACACGCCAGGGAATCTGATTGGGTGTGCGTGGGAGGGGGTGGTTTCCACTCTCTCTTACCACCCAGTGCTCGAACCTACTTCTGGGAGTCAGCTGGGTGGAGAAGTTAGTGCTGAGGGAGTTTATTTGTCAAGGGCAGGTGATGAAGAGGTGTCAACTTTAAAGGGCAAGCTGGAGGCACCTTTTACAGGAAGTAGAAAGCCTCAGGAAAGTACCTCAGTCTAATCCGTCAACAAGACTGAGTTTGGGTTAACCTCAGGCGAGCCATCACCAAGCCTGAATCGACTACGGACTCCTTGACACAGGAGCTGGGGGAAACTCGAGACATGGCTGTCAGATCTACCAGCCCCGTCTGTTGAAGGCGAGTGGTACCTGAACAAGGCAGACCTGAGCACCCTGAGAGCACTTAAGCCATCTGGGACGGAACCTCAGCCAGGGAAGAAAAACTCATTGCCATCGTTGATTCCAACTCATAGTGACTGAGTGTAGAACTGACCCGCAGGGTTTCCAAGCCTGTCATCCTTATGCTTATGTGGTAAAGTGGCAGGGGAGCAAAAGAAGACCTTTGACACGGTGGATTGACACAATGGCTGCATTGATGGGCTCAAAAGGGAAGAACTGTGGGCTGGTGTCTCTTCTGTTGTACATAGGGCCACTAAGTTGGAACTGACTCCATGGCATCCACCACCACCCATCTTTGTGGAAGCAGGCACCCACATTGTTCTGCAGGTGGCTGGTGGGTTTGAACCACCCACCTTTGAGTCAGCAATGCAGTGCTTAACCACTTTGTCACCATGGTTCCTAGTGGGTTCCATTTCAGAAAGGCCAGCTTGGGAGAGGGGAATGGTGGACTCCTTTGAGCATGCATGTTTTGAGAGCGCTCTACAGAACTTGAGTGACGAGGTGGGAAAATCCTGGGGCAGGAGGCATGCTTACTCAGAAAAAGGAGACCCAACCCTGGAGTGCACCCCTTGACGGGGAGGTCTCCATGTTCTTCAGTCCCAAGAGCCAAGCACCCCCTTTCTCATCACTCCTTCCCCCCTCCTTACAATGGAGCCTCAGTTCTATCATTATCCAATGAGATACCTTTTTAGCTCCAGTGAAGAGGGGAGGTAGCCTTCCTCTCTAAAGGGCCAGGTAGTAAATATTTTTAGTTTTGGAAGCCACAGAGGCAGTAGCCACAGACAGTACGTAAACACATTGGTATGGCTGAATTCTAAAACCTGGTTTCTGACACTGAAATTTCATATAATTTTCTTGTCACAAATGCTAATCTTTTTTTTTTTTTGGGGGGGGGGGGAAAACCATTTAAAAATGCAAAAACTATTCTTAGCTTGAGGACCAGATATGAAAGGCAACAGGGCAGATTTAGCTACCCCTTGGGGGTTTCCCCACATGGTGGAACAACTGGGAGGTCCTGTTTGTGTCTCCTTCAGGCCTCAAAATACAGCCGTAGAACCTTTCAAAATAAAAACATACTCCCTTCCCAATGCCTAGTTCTTAGTCACTTTTCTTCAGAGAATTCAACAATTTGAAAATGGCAAATAAACTGTTTTGGAACTTTCTTAACAAATCCTTTATCTCTATAAGTTTTCCTTTAATTCACTAATGAGCCTTTGTGACTCTTGACTCGGAGTAAGGAGAGGATGGATGATAAAGACTTCCATACTTCACACCAGACTCAACTATTTTGTGGGGGTGGGCAAAGAGGCAAGTAATCGTCCCACCCCCCTCAGCAGTAAGATTCCCCTGCAGAGCTGTTGTTTCCTAAAACCGAAAGCCAGCTACCTCATTTCACACACACACACACACACACACACACGCCACCTCATTTCAACACAAAGTTGTTTCCTCCTTTCTGTGTTTCATTACCGCGCCTCATGAGGGATTTCTGAGAAATGAAAACACGTCACCTCCCACAGCCAGTCTGCCTTTTTTCAAATGGAGGGGGAAGGGGAGGAATATATTGCTTAATATGGTTGCAGCCCAGAACTTCACGGTTAGGCGAGTTGGTTCGGCCTCCGCGGCCTACCTACATACAGCAGCACCAACACCGCCTGCTCACAACTGTTGCTGCCCACTGCTGCAGCCTCGGTGTCCACTTCCTTGATGGTCTTCCTAGTTTTCGGCGGCCCTCTAATTTGCCCAACAATTGACAGGATATGTTTCTGAGGCTTCATTGGCAGAAACGATGCCCTTGACCTCCCCATGCC